AATTACTTGTAATTAAACTTGATGTCCAGCTTTGTTTTTCTTTTTCAAGAATGTTTTGGCTAACCAGGGCCTTTTGTAGTTCCATACAAATTTTAGGATTGTTTGTTCTAGTTCTGTGAAGAATACTATTGGTATTTTGATAGGGATTGCATTATGTCTGTAGATTGCTTTGAGTAGTATGGACATTTTAATATTTGTTCTTCCAATCCATGAACATGGAATGTCTTTCCATTTCTTTGTGTCGTCTTGAATTTCTTTCATCAGTGTTTTATAGTTTTCACAGTACAGGTCTGTTAAGTTTATTCCTCAATATTATTTTTGGTGCATTTGTAAATACAATGGTTTTCTTGATTTTACTCTCTGTTGTTTCATTATTAGTAGGAATGCAACAGAGGAATGCATAGAAATGCAACAGATTTCTATACATTGATTTTGTACCCTGTGACTTTACTGAATTCATTTATCAGTTCTAGTAGTTTTTTGGCAGTGTCTTTGGGGTTTTCTATATATAGTATCATATCATCCACAAATAGTGAAAATTTTACGTCTTCCTGACCAATTTGGATACCTTTTATTTCTTTTTGTTGTCTAATTGCTGTGGCTAGTACTTCCAGGACTATGTTGAAGAAAAATTAACCTGTGTGGACATCCTTGTCTTGTTCCAGACCTTAAGAGAAAGGCTCCCATTTTTCACCATTGTGTATGATATTGGCTGTAGGTTTTTCATGTAAGACCTTTATTATATTGAGGTATGTTCCCTCCAGATCTACTTTGCAGAGGGTTTTTATATGAATGGATGTTGTACTTCGTCAAATGCCTTTTCTGCATCTATTGAAATGGTCACATGGTTTTTATTCTTTCTTTTATTGATACGCATATCCTGTTGATTGTTTTGCAAATATCGAGCCACCTTGAGTTCTGGGAATAAATCCCATTTGATTGTGGTTTATGATTTTTTAATGTATTGTTGAATTTGATTTGCTAATATTTTATTAAGAATTTTTACATCTATATTCATCAGATTAAATTCCTGGCAGTAATTTCTTCCTCTTCTTTCTTTTGGGGTGAATTCCTCCATCTTGTCATTTTGTCTAGGTCACTCTGTGTGTTAGGAAAGCCCATTATATTCCCGCTCCTGAGAGTAATGGCTGTATTAAGAAGTCCTATACTGTCTTAGGCCTGATGCCTCAGGAAGTGTTTCAGAGTTTGCATTCTGCTGTTGTGTTTTGCCTGCTCCTTCCCTTGAGTCAGTCCTCTTCAGAGTTTCTCCTTGCCTGTAGTGAGAAGGGTTTAGACCTTGTCAACTGCATGGCAAGTTTTAACTAGGTGTGTTTTTATCTGCTTGTTAAAAAAAGCTAGATCCTATTTCCCGTAAAGCTGAAGCTTTGCAGCAGCACTCTATGATCAGTAAACTTAGTGTGTGCAGGGGTTTTGTGCTGGTATTCTAGGGGAGGGGCCTGCTATGATGGTTCTCTGGCTGACTTGCCCTAGTAAAGATGCACCTACAGGACAGGGTGCTTGGTGTAGGCAGCTAAGGCCTCACTGAGGGCGCTGTGCTGCTCACTGAAATCTGATCTGTGTTGATGGGGGAGGGGAGGGGCAGGATTGCTCTCTCATCCCAGGAGCAGGGCGTTCCCATTCGCTGCTGTTCAGGAAACCCTCACAGAAGAGGGAACAATCTCCCCTCTTGTGTCCCCAGCTTCCCTCAGATCCCTGCCTTCACCCTGTCTGTGTCTGAGCTGTCTGCCCACCAGGCAGCACAGTTCTCCTGTGTTTTATGGTTTATGCCCGGCTGGGTTCCAAAACTCCAAAATTTGGGGCCCGGGTGTGGCACCCCTCCAGGGCACCTGCCTTCTCCTTTGTCCCCTGAGAGGCAGTGCCACCTCTCCCAAATGCACTCCAAGAAGGGGAACTGTTTCTCCCCGAGCGACCCAAGGCATCCTCAGGAGCGCGCTGTCACTCCCGTGTCTCCGCTCTCCTCCCTCACTGGAGCATGGCTAGGTCTGCCAGGCAGGACCCTAGCAACTTCTAAAACTTCAGATTTTGAGCTTGCTGCTTCTAAAGACTTTTGGTAGTCAACCCCTCTCCTTTTCCCAGTCAATGGTTTTGGGGAAGTTTTTCTTGTCCAATCCCCTGCATGTGCGCGCTCTCTCTCTCCCCTCTTGCGCTCATCTCTCCATGATGAGGGCTCCCTCCCCTCCCCGGCGCCCACAATTTTTTCTTCCCCCAAATCAACTCTCCAGAGCTCCTACCTTCTGATGTGGCCATTTTTCTCCCTCTAGCTGAGCAGTTTGTTCTCTCAGTCTTCATATCAATTTCTTGGGGTGTTCAGAATGATTTGATATTTATTTGGCTGTGTTTGAGGGATGAGGCAAGCATAGGATCCCCCTACTACTCTGCCATCTGAACTTGAAACCCAAACCTATATTCACCAGAGATATTGACTTGTATTTCTCTCTCTCTCTCTTTGTTTTGTTTTGTTTTGTGGTGCTTTATCTGGTTTTGGTATCAAGGTGATACTGGCTTCATAGAATGAATTTGGAAGTTTTCTTCCCTCTTCTATTTTTTGAAACAGTTTGAGAATGGTATTGTCTTCTTTAAATGCTTGGTAGAATTCACCTGTGAAGCCATCTGGTCCTGGACTTTTGTTTTTTGAGGAGTTTTTTGATTACTGATTCAATTTTATTGCTGGTAATCAGTCTGTTCAAATTTTCTATTTCTTCCTACTTTAGTTTTGGTAGATAATATGCTTCTAGGAATTTATTCATTTCTTCTAAGTTGTTGAATTTGTTGGCATATAGGTTTTTATAATATTCTGTTACAATTGTTTGTATTTCCGTGGTGTTGATTATTTCTCATCTTTCATTAGTGATTTTGTTTATTTGGGTCCTCTCTCTTTTTGATGAGTCTGGCTAGAGGTTTATCAATTTTGTTGATCTTTCAAACAATCAGCTCCTGGTTTCCTTGATCTGTTCTACTGTTTTTTTGGGGGGGAGTTAGTTTCTATGTCATTTATTTCTGCTCTGATCTTTATTATCTCTTTCCTTTTGCTGGGTTTGGGTTTTGTTTGTTCTTTTTCTAGCTCCTTTAGGTGTAAGGTTAGGTTTTCAATTTGAGATTTTTCTTGCTCCTTGAGGTAGGCTTGTATTGCTATAAACCTCCCTATTAGAATCACTTTTGCTGCATCCCAAAGATTTTGGGCCACTGTGTTTTCACTTTTGTTCTCATGTAATTTTTTATTTCTTCTTCAATTTCTTGGTCCACCCATTCATTGCTTAGTAGCATGTTATTTAACTTCCATGTATTTGTGCTCTTTTCAGATTTTTCTTGTGGTTTATTTCTAATTTCAGAGCATTGTGATCAGAAAAGATGCATGGTATGAGTTCAATTTTTTTGAATTTGTTGAAACTTGTTCCATATGCTTGAAAAAGAATGTGTATTCTGCTGTGTTAGGATGGAATGTTCTGAATATGTCTGTTAAAGCCACCTGGTCCAGTGTATCATTCAAAGCCACTGTTTCCTTGTTGATTTTCCATTTAGATGATCTATCCATCAATGTAAGTGGGGTATTAAAGTCCCCTACTGTTATTGTATTAGTATCAGTTATTTCCTTTATGTTTGTCATTACCTGTTTTATGTATTTGGATGCTCCCATATTGGGTTCATATTTACAATTTTTATATACTCTTGTTGGATTGTCCCCTTTATTATTATATAGTACCTTTCTTTTTCTCTTGTTACAGTCTTTGTTTTGAAGTCTATTTTGTCTGATATAAATACTGTTACCCTGGCTTTCTTTTGATGTCCATGTGAATGATAAATATTTCTCCATCCCCTCACTTTCAATCTGCAGGTGTCTTTCAGTCTGAAGTGAGTCTCTTGTAGGCAGCATATAGATGGATCACTTTTTTTATCCACTCTGTCACCCTATGTCTTTTGAGTGGAGCATTTAGTCCATTTACATTCAAAGTAATTATTGATAGGTGTGTATTTATTGCCATTTTGTTACTTGTTTTGTGGTTGTTTCTATAGATTTTCTCTGATCCTTTCTTCTCTTGTTCTCTTTCATGGTTTGTTGGCTTTCTATAGTGATATGCTTGAATTCCTTTCTCTTTATTCTTTGCATATCTATTACTGGTTTTCGAATGGTGATTATCATTAGGTTTGTATACAACATCTTCTGCATATAGCAGTCTATATTAAGTAGCTAGTTGCTTAAATTTGAACCCATTCTTTATTCCCCTCCCCCAGCCCATGTTTTAAGTATGTCATGTCATATTTTACAACCTTTACTTTATAAATCTCTTGACTGATTTTTGCAGAAATACTTATTTTTACTGCTTTTGTGTTTTTTACTTTTCGTAATCTTACTTATGGTCTTTCCTTTCCACTCAAAGAGTCCCCTTTAATATTTCTTGCAGGGCTGGTTTAGTGGTCATGAACTCCTTTAGTTTTTGTTTGTCTGGGAAACTTTTTATCACTCCCTCTGATCTGATTGATAGCCTTGCTAGATACAGTAGTCTTGGCTGCAGATTTTTCCCTTTCAGTACTTTGAACATATCATGTCACTTTCTTCTGACCTGCCAAGGTTCTGCTGAAAAATCTACTGATAGCCTGATGGGGTTTCCCTTGTATGTAACTATCTTCTTTTTGCTTTGCTGCTTTAATTTTTTTTTCTTTACTACTACTTTTTGCCATTTTAATTACTATGTGTGTTGGTGTGGACTTCCGGGGTTGAATTGGGGTGGGGTGGGTAGGAATTTCTGTGCCTCCTGGATCTGGATATCTGTTTCCTTCAGATTTGAGAAGTTTTCAGCTATTATTTTTTCAAATAAATTGTCTGCCTCCTTTTCTTTTTTTTCCATGTTTTTATTTAAATTCCAGTTAGTTAGCATACAGTGTGATATTAGTTTCAGGTGTACAATATAGTAATTCAACACTTACATACAACACCCAGTGCTCATCACAAGTGCCCTCCTTAATACCCATCACCCATGTAATCTTTTTTCTCTCTCTCAGCCAGCTACATCTTAATTCTGTGGTTTTCCTTTGTTTCTGAATCATCTTGTGTATTAATAATAATTTGCCAATAAATTTGAAACTTTCAACTACTTTCCAAAAAGATTAGTTTGTTCATAGAATTACATGTTCCCACAAATTATTTCTTTAGCTGCAAATTAATACAATAAATGCAAATGAGATTCATTTTCCAGTATATTTTCTTGATAGTTTGTAGATATAAAAGAAAATTCCTGTGTTTTATTTTTCTTTCATAGTTTTCTTTTCCTCACCAATCAGCTCATGAAAACACCTTAAACTTTTGTCACTTTTACAGAGGAATTTATTTCATTTACTTCATTTACTTTTCTTGAGAATTCTTTGCTGGAAAAACAAAACAGAAACAACCAACCAATAAATCAACCAACCAACAAACAAAAACAAATATTAAAAAAAGAAAAGATAAAAATAAGTTTGTGTGCTTTCCATGCACAAGCACAAATTGATCCTCCAACTATTGGCTTTTTATAATCCAATAAAATTCATGGCATATTGATATTAATGTTGGAAAAGTCCCTGCTGCCTGTGCAGATCTGAGAAATTCCTGCAGTAAGACCCAAGAAAGCAGTTTTAAAAGTTGCTACTCTCACTTGGTCTTTTCAGACCTCTGGCCAGTGACATCTTTGGAAAGTCAAGAAGTGGATTGACAGTCTTAAGGGAACTCTCCATTTGTTTGGGTTGAATTGTGTTGCCCCCTCCCAAATTACTACATTGAAGTTTTAACTCTCAGTATCTCAGAATGTGAAATTATCACATTCAGATATAGTTGTTGAAGATATAATTAGTTAAAATGAGGTCATACTGGAGTAGGATGGGCCCCTAATCAATATGACTGGTATCACAAAAGAGAAAATTTCAACACAAAGGCATGCCTGGGAGAATGCCATGTGAAGATTGGAGTTATGTTGCCACAAGCCAAAGATACACCAGAAGCTGGAATAGAGGCCTGGAACAGACCTTTCCCTAAGGCCTTCAGAGGGAATGTGGCCCTGCTGACACTTAAGCTCAGACTCCCAGCCTCCAGAACTGTAAGGAAATAAATTTCTGCTGTTTAAGTCACTCAGTTTGTGGAACTTGATTATGGAAGCCCTAGGAAACTAATCTACCATTTTTTCTCATTTAAAATATTTTGCTAGTTTCTTATTTTCTCTATCCTCAATCTTTCCATCACTTGTAGCAGCAAAATTCTCTGAATACCAAGGCACCTAAACAAGATTTCTTTCTTTTATTATCTTTTCAAAAAAGTATTAACTTTGTGTGATCTTCCTAACATTATTCCTTTATTAGCCATGGCATTTCCTTCCCCTTCATATCCGAGTCTCCTGTGGATCTCAGAATCATGAAATACCATCATGAATGTGTGTGCCATCACAACAGAGCCGATTTTCATCTCTTCACCACTGAAACTACTGATGAGATCTGGGCAGAGGGGATTTCTGCAATCTAGATTGGAACTCACAGGGGATAGAAGTGACCCTGCCACTAATGAGAGGCAGTGGCCTGAGATGGAAGTATCCCAGGCAAAGCTGAAACTTCTCAGTGATCTGAAGGACTCATGTGGTGTTTTGCCTTTCTCACCCACAGACCTCAGGCACACAGTTCCTCCCAGGAGATGGCTAGAAGATTTACTCACTTATTTTTCACATCATGGATGGTGTCAAGCAGAGGAAGATTCCTTGTTTCAGGTAGGAAAAGGACAACAAGACCAGCAATGATGGGAAAGACTCCATAGATGATCCAGGGCAAAGTGGAAAGATAGGCCATTAAGGTCATCAAGAGGGGAGCCAGTGTTGCCCCACACCTACTAGCCACTGTGTCTAGTCCTAAAGCTCTTGCCCTGAGGAGTAAACAACAATACATAATAATCTGGTAAAAATCTATGAATGTAATATGAGATACATGATTTTGACTTGATAAAAGATGGAAGATGCTAGAACACAATTATTAAGTACATGGGCTTTGATGACAAACACTTGTTTTTTAGATTTGCTCTATGATTTTCTAGCTGTCTTTGTCAGGCTCAAAGTATGTTAAGACTCATTTTCATAATTTTACACAAAATATTATTACACATTGCACCTACCCTGATGAGTTGTCTGAAAGATTAATGAGATGATGCATTAAAGTATTGCTCAGCACAGTTCATGGCACAAAGTCAGCTTTCAATAAACTTTGGCTAAAATGTTGTTAGCGTATTATTACAGTTACAATTACAAATGATTGCTTTTATAATAAACAGGTCTCTTTTTGAGAGAAAGTATGTGGGAGGGGATGGGCAGAGGGAGAGAGAGAGAGAGAGATTCTCAAGCAGGCTCCATGCTCAGCATGAAGCCCTATGCAGGGCTCTATCTCATGACCTGAGATCATGACCTGAGCCAAAATCAAGAGTCAGACACTCAACCAACTGAGCCACCCAGGCACCCCTATAATAAATAGGCCTTATTGTGTTTATTCCTGCAATAAGTGCAAATTAGCTGAGAATGTCCTGTTTTATGCCCTGGCAGAACATTCAAAAACTCATACCTGAGGACTGTGGGGATGAGTTCAATGAGGTGGACAGAAAAACTTGTGACAGAAGCAGCAGAAAAGCTGATTCCCACACTTGCCAAAGACACACGCAGAGTCTGCATTTCTAGAGACAGAAAGACCAGTGAGACTAAGAAATTTGGGCCGAAGGAATCAGCATCCACCAAATTTAACCAGAAAAAAAAAAACTTGTAGGTTATTGGTTTGTTTGAGGTATATTGTAGAAAATTCTATGTCAGAGAGCACAGAGTGGTTGATAAGCTGAGAAATGTAGAATTGTCAACATAGGTGCTAGAAAGCCCACAAAATTATCTGGGTTAATTGCAGCAAATCTCTGTGTATATCTGAGATTTTCTAAAGAAGGAGAGGAAGAGGTGAATCTGGCAGAAATTTGCTTTTACTGACTCTGTCCAGTATTATATCCTTATTGTAGAAGGTGGGACAGTCATGTGGACAATTACTGAGTCTAAGACTCAGCTCTAAACTTGACAACTTTAGAGTTGTCTAAACTTTAAAATTAAAGTGCAGAATTTAAAGTGACAAGTGATCCTGGTTTTCCTGGGAATTAGGGGGTTTTAGCAATAGGGATTTTCATTGATAAAACCAGGAAAATCCCAGGTAAGCCTGGATGTGTCAGTCAACCTAGTATAGATATCGCATGGTCATGAGGTGGGTATGGCATGATAGAGTAGTAAAAAACCAGACTACTCTTTTAGTAGACAGGCTGAAGAGAAGCCATATCTAGAAGAGTGTTAGATATAAGAAACCAAGAATGGAAACTTCTATTTGGGAAAAAAAATGTCAGAATTTGGGAACAATAAAGGAAAATTTCAGATAATTGATTTTCTGCCCAATATAAAAAGAAATCTAATTATAGATTAACATAACAATAAAAAATATTAAAAAATAAAGAAATCTAATTATAGCTTTATAATATTGGAAAAGACTCTATTGTAAGGGAGTAAGCCTGTATCATTAATGATATTCTAAGGAGTAAAGTCCACCAATCTATAATGCTGTAAGGTACATTCCTGCATTAGGACATACCTGAAGCTTAGTGCCCACTAAGGTTCTCCTGGTCATCACATACCATCATTCTATTAACTTACAAATTCATCTAACTGGAATGGACTAGGCTTTTATTTTATTTTTTTTATTGCGTTATGTTAGTCACAATACAGTACATCATTAGTTTTTGATGCAGTGTTCCATGATTCATTTTTTGTGTATAACACCCAGTGCTCCATGCAATACTAGGCTTTTAATCTGATTAATTCCTTTTTCCTATTGTATACTCCTTCACTACTTGAAAAAAGGGGGAAATTTACATTTTCTGGAAGTCAAGAAGACTCCCATAAGCAAGAGCTATTGTGATGATGACCTAACCCCACACTCACATGTGGATACAGAGCATAAGGAAGTAGACAGTCATCAAAGCTGGTAATGAAGAGCCCAAGTAGAGCAAGTGATCACACTGTGTCCTCACATGAGATGTAATTGCGAAACCTAAGCCCTTCATGCTTGTTACTAAAACTATGAAAGGCCAAAATGCAAGTGATCGATTGCTATCCTAAAGAAACTGTCAAGAATAAATGGCACCAGTTTCTAGATACTTCTAGGATGTGATGAAGAGAAATATATGTCTGAGCTGCCCCTTGTGGACCTTTGGCTCTTTTCCCAACAACTTATTTTTTCCATTTAGTTATTTAATCACTTTTACTGTCATACAAATACACATTCCCATGCAAAGTGGTGAAAAGTTAGTAATGACAATTGTATAATGACAGCTCTCTTCTATAAAGGGAGAACTTCATTCTGGACAGTTCTGTGATTGAGCCGACTCTTTGTGGTGTGTACATTATAGAGGAGCAGTGATTGGTATCCCTCACTTTGTCTCTAGATTATTATACATTGTGGAACAGAGAGGCATAAAATTGGCAAGTTAGACCCTGGATTCTGCTTTGTGCTTAAATGAGATCATTAGAGTGAAAATACTGGAGTTATTATTGGAGTTATTATTACCTTAAATTTTTAGATAATTTAGACCAAAGAATAGAATGGATACTATTAGCCACATATTCTGAAAATATCACCAGAAAAACCAGTCCTAGAGTTAGCTTCTTAGCAGGATTTGCTTTAAACCCTCAGATTGGTTTGGGGGAATATTTAGCTCTTAATTGGCACTTCTCTTTACTCAGCCTCAAGCAAGTGTGACCAATACAATCCCTAAAGGATGGGGAAAAGACACCTCTTTCCCCCCAAAGTCCAGCCTTCTCTCACCTTGGGGCACAAAGGTGTTGACCAAAACAGAAAGTCCCACCAGGAACATGAAAAGTGTCTGGGTTGTTCGACGGCCCATATGATTCTGTACTAAAAGAGGAAGACATCGGACTATGGCAGTGAGAGCTCCAAAGACTACCTGGAACAGGAAAATATTGCTCCCAAAGTGCTGTAGATTGATCATGATGCCATAAAAGGGTATTGTGATTGCAAATCTGTAATGAACAAAGGAGGAAAGACACATGCCATAAGATTTAAAGCCTATATGCTGCAGTTGATAACTATATTGACCCAGACAGCTAGTGGTCAGTGTTAAAGAACAAAGGGCCAGTCTGATTTGTATAATACATTATTTTAAGGTATAATTTTAAAGTTACTATAAATAATTGCCTGGCAATATATAAAAACAATACTCCTTCTGTCGTTCTTTCATCTGAGTCCCTAAGTAAAGAGTTGGCAATGACTGGGAAATATAACCTGTCCCTATCACCAAACTGAATGATATAGAGAAGGATTAAAACCTGGGGGGAAGGATATCTTTTTTGAGGGTAGTCAGTATGCTGTGAGTCCTCCTTCTCTTTTCAACCCCAATACTGTGAAAAACTCTATTAGTTCTTGCTCAGCTTGATCAACCAGTGACTGAGCTGCAAAGAGACTACCCAAGTCCCCTTTATCTAGGGGCACCATGTCCTGAGGTGTGACACAGTTCTAGGAAATTTAAGGCCCATATATGATTTTCTAGGGCTAAGAGAAAATGTCAGAATTCAAGCAAATGTGCACCAACTGTACAATAGGAAATATAATCAGAGGTTCCCAATGGGGATCTACAATTTACCCAGAAAGTATCTAAGGGAGAGGAGTCCACTTTAGTGATCTGCTATACCCAGAGAGAGCTACATTTAGACATTACAGCCCAAAAAACCACCACAGATCACAGCAATTCTAACCAAGTAAGTCCTTTTTTTACAATTTTCTCTACTTTTCTTTCTGCTCAAGTTGTCTAGGACTCAGAAACTTGAGCCTATGACCTAGTTGATAAGAGAAAAGTGAAAAATCACAATCCAGTGAAATGAAGACATAGTCTCCTAGGATATGTCTAGGAAGAGGTAAATAGTAAAATTCAATAGTTACTTTCTTAAGCTTGGCAGTGGGTATATGTTGTTCTATATGCTTTTTTTTTGGTAAATCGTCAAAAATTCAGAATTAAATTTAAAATCCCCCCCAACCCTACCAAAGTAAGTAGTTATACCCTTCAAGAGATAAAGTACAAGATTTTGTAGGGAATTCCTAGTGCTAACACCCCAAATTGGAAACAAGTACAAGTTCAGCGATATTGAAGTACATTAAGAAATTGTAGGGTGTTCATCTCATGGATGAATCTTGCATAAATAAGCTTGAGGAGAGGGTGCTGTCACAAAACCATTTTATTATTTATATCATGTGGAAGTCAAGACTAGGCAACACTTCTCAGTGGTGATGGGGAGCAGGACAGTTGGTAAGTTTTATGGGCATGCAAGCAGTGAGGAGGAAATGAGAGTGGAGCCAGTGTAATGGTGGTTCTCACTGTAGGGGATCTATGAAGGGAACTTCTGAGGAATTAGGATTTTCTTGATCCAGGTGCTGGTTACATTTGCACACACTGAAGTGTTTATTGAGCTGTATATATTCACAATCTATTCACAATCTATTCCTAACATATTAGTGTTAGTAAGATTTTATTGCATTGTATGTTAACTAAGTAGAATTTAAATAAAAATTTGAAAAAAAATTGGAAGAAAAAAATGAAGGAAACTAAATGCCAAGTCTGTACTGTGGTGGAAGTCCCAGCATCAATCTCCAGGGATGAGACTATGGAGTAATACGACACAATTAACTCCTCATCATATGGTGAGTCTTTTTATAACCTTTTGCCCATCTCCTAGTACAGCAGTATTCAGTCTGTTTTCCTCATCTTTTATATCCAAGTCAGCACACCCACCCCCACAACACTGTTAGAACCTTTGAAATAAATAGATTCATGTTTCCCCTTTTTAAGGTTGTCATGCACTATGTGAAACCCACCTCACAAATAGCAGGAGACAGGTTCTCTTACGCAAGCTGGGGGTGCGGAACAAGTCGAACTCAGTAGCTTTGGTCTGTGCTGCCTCCAGCTCATCTTGCATGCTGGATCTCAAACTCTTAAACAGCAACAAACATGTTTCATTTTCCAACACAGTGCCAGGAATTATGGTGAACCCCAGCACCCAACAGGACAGGAGAGATATGCTCCCTTTCTTTCCAGCATAACTTATTATACATGAAATCACAGGTGTGAAAGGGATATAAAAGAAGATGTAGAAAGCTAAAGGAGACTCCAGGATATTAAACAGCAAAAATGATATTTTTTATTAGTTTCATAGGTAGAATTTAGTGATTCATCAGTTGCATAGAACACCCAGTGCTCATTACATCAAGTGCCCTCCTTAATGCCCTTCACCCAGTTATCCCTCCCCCCACGCACCCCCCCATCCAGCAACCCTCAGTTTGTTTCCTAGGGTTCAGCATCTCTTACAGTTTGTCCCCCTCTCAATTTTCATCTTATTTTAGTTTTCCTTCCCTTCCTCTATGTTCATCTGTTTTGTTTCTTAAATTCCACATATGAGTGAAATCATATGGTATTTGTCTTTCTCTGATGGACTTATTTCATTTAGCATAATACCCTCTAGTTCCATCCACATCCTTATAAATATCAAGATTTCAATAAAAACAGACACATAGATCAATGGAACAGAATAGAGAATCCAGAAATGGACCCTCAACTCTATGGTCAACTAATCTTTGACAAAGCAGGAAAGAATATCCAATGGAAAATAGACAGTCTTTTCAACAAATGGTGTTGGGAAAGTTGGACAGCCACATGCAGAAGAATGAAACTGGACCACTTTCTTATACCATACACAAAAATAAACTCAAAATGGATGAAAGACCTAAATGTGAGACAGGAATCCATCAAAATCCTAGAGGAGCATACAGGCAGCAACCTCTTTGACCTCGGCAGCAAAAATGATATTAAGGAGGGCCTTTGTTGTGTTGAGCATAGGGTGTCATATGAATCCTGAAACCAACATTACACTATATGTTAAATAACCAGAATCTAAATAAAAATTTAGAAAAAGGAAAAGAAAATGAGGCCATGGAAAGGTGCAGGCCATGCACAAGAGTTATAGATTATAGATTCAGATCAGGAAGTAAACTAAAGGAAGCGGTGGTTGCACAGTGCTCAAAACAGCTTTTGTGTAAGGTGGCCATGAAAGGCTAGGGAACTGAACTCACCATCTTGGCTGCCCTTTTTAGGAAGACAGTTTGTCTATCTCAATAAGAAGAAGGTGGAGTCAGCTTATGTCTTCCCTCTAACCCAGTAACCACCTTCCATTTCCTGCTCACCTCCAAGGTCAGGGCATCTCCAGCATTCTGAATTCCATTTGTGTGTGCAACTTTTCTAAGTGCCTTCAAGCCCTCCTCTGGTTTATTGTTGACAATCAGCCATCGAGCAGATTCCACTATCTGCCTGATGGAAGGAGAGCACACAAGTGCAATCAACTCTCTCTTGCTTATTTGTCATATGATTATTGACTACAGATGCTTTTTGCCTTCCATCTAATATCCATCACTTGTTGGGTTAGGAATAGAAACTCAGGTTTTGTTTCACAAATACTAGGAAAATATAAGCAAGACAAATCCATTGCAGTACATCTTCATGGTCAGGAACACAGACTTTGGAGGGAACTCACCTCTCTGCTTACTCAACAGATTTTCAAAGAAGGTATGAAGCTTAAGCTTGAGAGTTCCTCATGCAGAATTCCTTTCCAAAGCTTGTCATGGTTCTATCAAATTTGTGCTCATAATATATAGTCTTTTAAAAAAAGAAGTCCCGGGCACCTGTGGCTCAGTTGTTTAAGCTCCTGCCTTTGGCTCAGGTCATGATCCCGGGTTCCTGGGATCAAGCCCTGCATCAGGCTCCCTGCTCAATGGGGAGTCTGCTTCTCTCTCCCCTTCTCCCTCTGTGTGTGTGCTCTCTCTCTCTCTCTAGTTCTCACTCTCTCTCAAATAAATAAATAAATAAATAAAATCTTAAAAAAAAAAGAAGTCCCCAAATTATGTAAGCTTAAAGCCCAACAAAGATTAGAAGTACTCCTGCCACTACCAGCTATGTTGGTAATTTACACATAAGGCAGTCACTTATTTACATCTGCTTCAATTTTCTCATCAATAAAATGGGAACAGTAGTACCATCTTCCTTGTAGCATATAATGACATAATGGGTGAGTCTGGCATGGATTACACTCTCCTCTCTCTCTGAACTCATCTCATTGTATTAAATCTATAGTGTGTCTCCATGATGAAATAAACCTCACTCTCCTTTAGATGGTTTTAAGTACAGGGATGAAGTTATCCATAAATAAATGTTTGTTTAAATTATTTAAGGGAAAAGGGAGTGCTAAACACATGATGTTAATCATCCAATCTGCATGCCAATCTTTAGTACTGAAGAAACCATGCTGCTCTTTTATGAATAAATTTGCTGCCTTATTCCTTTTATCCAACTTCATCTACAAAAATGAAAATCTAAAAACTACCATAACCTGATTCATCCCAAAACCAAAAAAAGAATTAAAAGTATTTCTTTTTGAAATATTTGAGTCTATATTTTATATTAAGGAAATAATATTGGAATAAGTCTATGACTACTATACTGGGTAAGACTTAAAGCAAAACAAAACAAAAAATACCTAGGAATCCCACACAGAAAGGTCATTACTACTTCCTGTTCTGCTTATCAAACTACACAGCCTGAACAGATGAGAAACATGAGGTTTAGGCCCAGACAATAAGAAAGGGTCCAGGAAATAAGAAAATCAATATATCCCAATTCAGTCCTCATTTTCTTCCCAGGTTTCCATAAGGCAAAATGAGAAAGAAGGCCATACCTTGAGGAGAGAAAGAAGACAAGGAAAGGTACAGACACCACCAGCTGCAGAGTGCGCCACTCTCGAAAGGCAAATGCCAGTCCTCCCAATAGTATCTGTCCCATACTTAAGGCACAAGTTATCAGTGTTATTGCCATGACTTTAGATGGGGGCCTTATCCATTCTACGACTGAAAGAAAACCCAACTGGGATATTAATGTCAGATAAAGGTGAAATTTCAAGGTCAAAGTCAAGGCTTGGAAAATGGAGAAGATCAAAATTGTTGACTTACTGAGCATAGCACCATTTGTCAGGATGACAATGGAAGAACAACCTGACAAGAAGCGTAGTGAGCAGTAAATGAGGAAGGTGGGGGCAAAAGCTGAACTGGTCCCAAAGATGGTAAGCTGTAGGAGACACCACCTGAGAATCAACTTTCTCCCAAACCTAAGAAACAGAGAGTCAGATTAGATTATGGGAGCAATAAGAATTTGTGGGGGGAAAAACAAAAAACAAAAACAAAACTTAAGAAAACCAAAAGCATACTCTGAAATTTAGAGAATATTTTAACAAGTGATTCTTTGTTAAGAATCATCCCAAACAAATGATCCCACATCATGATCATTATCATCATCCAAGAAATAAGATAGAAAACAAAAAAAATGTTAGACTGAAACAAAACCATAACAACAACCACAATTAATCAAATTAATTGCTAATAGTGCAAACACTCTATCAAATAATAGAGATTATCAGAATAGGTTAAAAAAAGAAACTATATGCTGTCATGAATCATACTTAAAATACTATATGTTGAAAGTAAACTGATAGAAAAAGATATACAATTCATATAGTAATAAGAACACTGCAGTCTTTATATTAATATCAAATAAAATAAATTTCAAAACAGAATACATTTCCAGAAATAATGCTGAAAATGTCAAATGTATATACACTTAAAAAATTACAAAACACATGAAACAAATTTGACAAAATTAGATACACAATTCACAATGATAGTTGGAAACAGTTTTGAATATATTTATTGTGGTAAGAAATATACAATACAAAATTTGCCATTTTAATCATTTGGAGACAAACAATTCAGTGGTTAATTACCGTCATCATGTTTCAAAATCATCACAACAATTTCCATTTTCATTACCCCAGACAAAAACTCTATAACCATTAAGCAATAATTCCTCATTCTCCCCTTCCCTCTTATCCTTCTAATAATCTCTAATCTACCTTCTATCTCCATTAATTTGCCTAGTCTAGATATTTCATAGAAGGTGATTTATACATTTGTCCTTCTGTGCCTGTCTTATTTCATTTAGCACAATTGTTTTGAGGTTTATTTATGTTGTACGATGTGCCATTCTTTTTTTCTGGATAAATAATATTCCGTTGTGTATATATAATATATTTGTTTATCCATTAATCTGTTGATGGATACTTGGATTGTTCACCTTTGGCTATTATAAATAATGCTGTCATGAACATCAATGTACAACTACCTGTTGAAGTCCCTGTTTTCAATTTTTTGTAGTGTGCACCTAGGAAGGGAATTGCTGGTTTGTATGGCAATTCTGTTCAGATTTTTGAAGAACTACCAAACTGTTTTCCACAGTGGCTGCACCACTTTCTATTCTCACCATCAATGCTCAAGTGTTTCAATTTCTCCACATAGGTATTCAAGTTCTTTGCTGATTTTTTATGATTTATCATCTTGTTATTGAGATGTAGGAGTTCTTTATATATTCTGGATAGTAAGCCCTTTTCAGATATATGATTTGCAAATATTTTCATCCATTTGTAGGTTGTCTTTTAACTTCCTTGATAATGATAATGTTAATTTTTATGAAATCCAATCTACCTATTTTTCTTTTGTTGTTTGTGCTTTTGGAGTCTAAGAATCATTGCCAAACACAAGGTTGTAAACATTTACTTCTAGGCTTTCTTTTAAGAGCTTTACAGATCATTGACTCATTTTGAGTTAATTTTTGCATAAAGTATCAGGTAGGGATAAACCTTTTTTTCTTTTATCATTTTTTAAATTTTTATTTATTATGTTATGTTAGTCACTATACATTACATCATTAGTTTTTGATGTAGTGTTCCATGATTAATTGTTTGCGTATAACACCCAGTGCTCCATTCAATATGTGCCCTCCTTAATACCCATCACCAGGCTAACCCATCCCCCATCCCCCTCTCCTCTAAAACTTTCAGTTTGTTTCTCAGAGTCCATAGTCTCTCGTGGTTCATCTCCCCTTCCAATTTCCCCCCCCTTCCTTTTTCCCTTCTTACTATCTTCTTTTTTTTTAACATATAATGTATTATTTGTTATATGTTAACATATAATGTATTATATGTGTTATATGTTTAACATATAATGTATTATGTATTATTTCAGAGGTACAGGTCTGTGATTCATCAGTCTTACACAATTCACAGTGCTCACCATAGCACATACCCTCCCCAATGTCTATCACCCAGCCACCCCATCTCTCCCAGCCCCACCACTGCAGCAACCCTCAGTTTGTTTCCTGAGATTAAGAATTCCTCATATCAGTGAGATCATATGATACTTGTCTTTCTCTGATTGACTTATTTCGCTTAGCATAATACCTTCTAGTTCCATCCACGTTGTTGCAAATGGCAAGATTTCAGCGGTTTTTTTGATGGCTGCATAATATTCCATTGTATATATATACCACATCTTCTTTATCCATTCATCTGTTGATGAACATCTTGGCTCTTTCCACATTACAGTAGTCTGGCTATTGTGGACATTGCTGCTATAAACATTGGGGTGCACGTAGGGTAAACCTCATTCTATTTTATGTGAAAAGTTAGTTGTTCAACACCATTTGCTGAAGGGCCTGTTCTTTCCCACATTGAATGGTCTTGGCACCCTTGTTCAAAAGTCAGTTGGTTATAAATATGTGAGTTTACTTCTGGACTCTCAGTTCTATTACATTGGTTTATATGTCTATTTGTATGCCAAAACCGTATTAATCATTTACTGTAGCTTGGTAGTAATTCTGAAACCAGGAAGCATAAGTCCTCTGAATTTATTCTTCTTTTTCAACATTGTTTGACTATTTGGATGCCCTTGGAATCTCATCTGGATCTGAGGTTCAGCTTTTTTTTTTTTTTTTTTTGAAGTAGCAGACACTTCTTGACTTTATAGACTGGTTTTGGCAGGTAAATATCTTCTCCTCCTGACTAGGTAGACTGTTGGGACTGCCTCCAAGATCATGGTTGGGAGAGGCTGGAGCTGGGTCATGTGGCTGCTGTGTGTTCCACGATCAGGCCCAGTCAGTGGGCCTTTTACTGGTGGTATGGGTTGGTGTGGTTCCTGCCAGGCCCCTGGACTGGCAAGACTGCTCTGAAACTTGGTGTGCAGGGTCACAGGTCCACTTCAAGGTCCTCGGTAAGGTCTGAGATCAGTGTGTCTGTAATCAAGGTCACCAATGAGCATGGTACTTCCTGGGTCCCTTGGTGGATGGGGCTGTGTCAGAGTCACAGAAAAGTTAGGTTGGAACTGGATCTGCAGGGGGCAGGTTCCTTTCAGGTCTACAGCTAAGACCACAATCAGTGGGCCTGGTACTAGAGTGCTTCTCAAGGCTACCCTTCTCAGTCTTAGCTCTACTGAGCTTTTGAAACCTCTGACCTGAATCCCAAGGTTCCCACAAAAGCATTTTTGTGTGTGAATGACTGCTAAATCATTGTTTCAATATGCAGATAAGGCTGGGGACCTCCTATTCTGCCCTCTTGCTCACATCATTACCTTCTTTTTCCTCTTTTAATGTAGGTATTTATAGCTATAAATTTCCCACTGAGCATTGTCTTCACTACATCCCATAAATTTTGTTATGTTGAATTTTTTATTTAATTGATCTTTGGGTATTTTCTAATCCCCTTTGTGATTTCTTCTTTGACCCATTCGTTGTCTGTAAGTGTGCTGTTTAATTTCCATGAATTCGAGTTTTCCAGTTTTGCTTCTGCTATTGATTTCTAGTTTCACTCTACTGTAATCAGAGAAAATGTTTTATATAATTTTGATCTTTTGAACCCTATTGATTCCTGGTTTTGAGCCTTATAATGCAGTCTGGTCTAAATAATGTTCCACATACGCTCAAAAAGCATGTATATTCTACTGTTGTCAGATAGAGAGTTCAGCAAATGTCTGTCAGCCATGCTAGTTTATGCTCAAGTCCTCTATCTCCTTACTGTTCTTCTTTCTATATGTTTACTCCATTATTAAATCTGAGGCACTGACTATGGAAAACAGTATAGACGTGCCTCAAAAAGCTGAAAATAGGGTGCCTGGGTGGCTCAGTCGTTAAGCGTCTGCCTTCAGCTCAGGTCATGATCGCAGGGTCCTGGGATTGAGTCCCACATTGGGCTCCCTGCTCGGCGGGAAGCCTGCTTCTCCCTCTCCCACTCTCCCTGCTTGTGTTCCCTCTCTTGCTGTCTTTCTCTCTGTTAAAAAATAAATAAATAAATCTTTTTTAAAAAAGTTGAAAATAGAGCTACCTTATGACCCAGTAATTGCAGTATTGGGTATTTACCCCAAAGGTACAAATGTAGTGATCCGAAGGGGCACCTGCACCCCAATGTTTACAGCGGCAATGTCCACAATAACCAAACTATGGAAAAAGCCCAGATGTCCATCAATAGATGAATGGATAAAGAAGATGTGGTGTATATATACAATGGAATATTACACAGCCGTCAAAAAATGAAATCTCACCATTGGCAACGATGTAGGTGGAACTAGAGGGTATTATGCTAAGCAAAATAAGTCAATCAGAGAAAGACAAGTATCATATGTTCTCACTGATATGTGGAATTTAAGAAGGCAGAGGATCATAGGGGAAGAGAGGAAGAAATGAAACAAGATAAAACCAGGGAGAGAGACAAACCGTAAGAGACTCTTTTTTTTTTTTAAGATTTTATTTATTTATTTGACAGAGAGAGACACAGTGAGAGAGGGAACACAAGTAGGGGGAGTGGGAGAGGGAGAAGCAGGCTTCCCGTGGAACAGGGATCTTGATGCAAGGCTCAATCCCAGGGCCCTGGGATCATGACCTGAGCTGAAGGCAGATGCTTAACGACTGAGCTACCCAGGCACCCCCGTAAGGGACTCTTAATTTCAGGAAACAAACTGAAGGTTGCTGGAGGGGAGGGTGGTGGGAGGATGGGGTGACTGGGTGATGGACACTGGGGAGGGTGCGTGTTATGGTGAGTGCTGTGTGTTGGGTAAGACTGATGAATCACAGACCTGTACCCCTGAAACAAATAATACATTATATGTTAATAATAAAAAATTTAAAAAAAAAGGAAGAATGATAAAGAATAGAAGAGAGAAAATAAAGACTTCCAAGATTAGAAATGAAAGAGGAAATATTACTAAAAATTTGTAAAGTATAAGAAAA